TGAGAGGAGCTGTATAAGCCCCAATAAAATGATTAAAAACAAAACAAAACAACAACAAAAGAATAAGGGTCCTGAAGAACCTAGATGGTTCAGTAAAGCTCTTCAAATTCCAATGGTATGTTTCAATTACTCCTGCCTTTCTCCTCACTGACTTACAGATGCTCCTGGATCGATGGCAGGAGGAAACTCAAATACAAGTCTTACAGCTGTGAAGTGGATTTTCCAGGAAAATGTTCATAATGGCTGTCATGGTAACAATTTCTCTTCTCCCATTGGAACAACATTTCATCATTGGGTAAAGAGGGGCTACGATGGCATCTAGCATGATAGTATAAGGCTAGACAGACTGTGTAAAATGGTTGTGTCTTGGTCAGAAAATGATTCTGATGAGCAAGTAACACCTTGTTGCCATCTATACGGGTGAATTCCCATCACATGAAGGACAGTAATCCAACCACTCCATAGTTGCAGTCTTCAGGGCCATCAACAGGGGCATGAGTTACCCACAGGCATTGGCTATGTTGCTGCTGTTAGATACCACCACACAGCAACCCTATGTGCAACAGCATGAAACCTTGCCAGTATAAGAGAGAAGGAAGGGCAGCCAATACACAATGAGATTCACTAAAAAGATATAACAATTCATCGAGATAATAAAGCAATTATAAATATATATGTACCAGAGTCAAAAAACACATGAAATAAACACAGACAAAATTAAAGGCAGAAATAGTTTTACAACCATAGTTGAAACTTCAGTACACCACTTTCAATAAAATATAGAGCATCTAGGAACATCCAATGACCAATAAGGAAATAGACGATTCGAACAATACTATAAACCAGCTAGATTTAGCCCAACACAACAGCACAATAAACATTCTTCTTAAGCGCACACACAGATTAGACTGAATGTTGTTATTAGGTGCCCTTGAGGAATTTTTGACCATAAAGACCTCATATACAACAGAGAGAACAACTGCCCAGTCCCGCACTTGCCCAACAATCATTCCTATGTTTGAACTCACTGTTGCAGCCGCTGTGATAATCCATCTTGTGGAGAGTCTTCTTTTTCACTAACCTTATACCAAGGATGACCTCCTTTTCCAGGGATTTCTCTCACCTGATAACAAGTCCAAAGTATGTGATGGTTAAGGGAAACTAAAGTGCAATTTGAGGCACTTTAAGTAGACACACTGCAAGTAAAAACAAAATGGACGACCTCATCTAGACCTATACCTTGACCTTACTATAATTTCCATAGTATCTTGTATATCTCTATGGCACATACATTTTATTTTGTATTTTAGTTGTTTAGGAGCCCTGGTGGTGTAGTAGGTTATGTGTTGGGCTGCTATGGCAACATCAGCAGTTCGAAACCACCAACCACTCTGTATGAGAAAGATGAGTCTTTTTACTCCTGTACAGAGTGACAGTCTCCGAAACACGCAGGGGTAGTGCTCTCTGTCCTATAGGGTTGCTATGAGTCAGAATCAACTCGCTGACAATGAGTTTGAATTTTGGCTTAGTAGCTTGATCAGTTCTCTCTTCATTAGTTTAGACACCCCACTAGAGCTGACTAGAAGTCCAATTCAACTTATAAATCTGAAGGGTAGTGGGCTAGTAATATTTGCTTATTGAATGGCTTAGTAGGATACTTTCCTGAAACTTTTCTAGTTGAATCTTGAATTCTTCCATAAAATTCTATTTCAGACTCATTCTTTTTTCCCCAGACTCATTCTTGTTACTTTTGAAAACCAATGTAACTAATAGATCCATTTGCAATAGTAACTTTTATTTGAAAATTAACAAAAGCATATCCTAAACCATCAGCACAAATTTTAGAGACCAAGAATCCAAAATGACTTCTTGTTCAGGAATTTAAGATAGTTTTCATTTGGCTGTTCTTTTACTTTGTTTCTCATAACGTCTTGTTCATCTTCAGGCCACTACTGGCAAGACATGTGCGTCTATGGGACTGGTGATTTAAAGTGGCTTTATAACTCTTCAAGCATGTTTGCTAGCAAATTCGAGTTTAAGAAGTACCCACTGACTGTGGAATGCCTAGAACTGAGGATTCGAGAGAGAACCCTAAATCAGAGTGAAATCCCAGTGTCGCCAGACTGGAAGTTTCTCCCACATTATAGCTATGTTAAAGAAGAAAACATCAAAAAACAGCAATAAAAAAGCCAGTTGCTCTCATTTTGGACTATGTGTCCTACTTCTTTCATCGATCTTACCTATAATGCACAGCAGACCAGTGGGCAGCTTAGGAAGTTCCCGTGGTAGTGCCTCCAGGTCACTGTGGAAAGAGAAGACCGAAGTTTCAAGCAACATCCAAATAACTATACTTGGATCTTAACCACCAGTAGTTGTTTCTTAAGGCAACTCCTGATCTAACTCTTTCTAATCAAAATTGTAAATATTTAGATGATGACATGATATGTTTTTTTCATCCTCCTAAGCTGAAATCACTGGTTTCTGCTCTTTTCCTTAACAAGAGAGGAGCCCAACTATTGCATATATAATTAAGGATAGAAAGTACCTTAAAGATAACTTAGAAACGTCTTACCATTATTGCGAGGTTTGCTAAGTGACTGAACATTCAGTTATACAAGTATGTAAAGTCAAGAATCTTGTTATCCTGGAGAAAAGTTTCAACAAAACCAATTGAATTTTGAGGGTTTGTTTGTTTGCTTTATAACCACTAGTATTTTTTTCTTTTTTTTAGCAGTCTTATTGGCACATAATTTACATAGCATACATGTTCAATCATATAGTTCAATCATATCAAGGAGAATTGTGCAGCCATATCAGTTTTAGTAATCCCCTTCCCCCACGGATACAGTGCTTTTAAAATGAGTTGTACAATCACAGTTCAGTTCTAGTACTCCCTCCTGTTGTCATTTCTGACTCCTGAAATTTCCCCCTTCCCTCCCTATCACCCACTCTCTGCATCCCATATCAACTCCTGTATCAGTTATTATCACTATGCATCCACTCCTCCTGTGGGTGACAAACTGGGAAAGCCAACAAAAACAATAAAATCTAAATTCAAAATAAGGTGGTAGGATAAAATAATAATAATATAAAGAACAAAATACAAATAATGAATAAGAAAGAAAAGGTTCTCTTGAACATTCTAGAAGCCAGGGAAGAAATTTCTGTCATGGAACACATAAGAGATGTTTGCACACAGAACTAACTCAGGTCAGGTCTATAGGGAGGTCGTCTGGCCAAGTATCGAGTTTGATTCAAGATATTCAAAATCACAATGGTCTCTGCCTGACAGCAAAGTTGTATGATACTCTTGCCTGTGGCTGGAGCAGATCTGCCAGTGGCTCAGTCTGACGAGATCCTCTCCAGATGGGTATTGGGTTCCCACTGTCCTCCAAGTCTTCTACAAATCGGGTGTTCATAATTTTAGCTCTGATCTTTTTCCCTTCATCATATTTGAATTTTTAAACTGTCATTTTTGGATTACACAAGCTGGTGTGCTTCTTTTAATCACTTGCACTTCTTATGGAAAGAATTGGTCACCAAGAAGGAAGGAGGTGTGGTCTGACCCTCCTGGGGTGCACTTTGGGGAGTGACCTCATGAGAAACAATGATGGCTAAGAGCTATCCGACTTAAGCGCTCAGATCTTTTTTACACAACATGACCTGATAACAGAATGCAACCCTCGGACACTGCTTTGTCCTAAAAGCCGGCTGCAAGAACACTCTACTCTAGCACCTATGAGGGTAGCAACAGCAGGGGGCTTGTCTCCACCAGCCCACCTGGGACCAAATCTTTACTAGCATGAAAAAAATGTTCATACCCTGTATCCTACACCATTTCCCAGAGTTAAATACTCAAAATTTATACTCTATAAACAGCATGTGGTATAAACATACCATGGAATATTATTCAGTCACCAAGAGAAATGATTTCCTGATGTATGCCCAAATATGGATGAACTTCGGAAACATTATGCTGAGTAAAATAAGTGTCAAAAATGGACAATTGTATGCTGCCGTTTTATAGGCTATCTAGAACAGTCTGAGGTATAGATATTAGAATTTTATTATTGGCTACCAGGGGCAGAGAGGGGAAAAAGAGGAGGAGCCACTGCTTGGGCAGCAGAAAGTTTCCGTTGGTACATGGAAATGTTGGAAATTTGATGAGGGTTGTGTAACATGAGTCACGCAATGACCATCACTGAATTGTATGCAGGAGAAACTGAATTGGCACATGTCGCAAATGTACAGAGAAA